TTGATTTCATCGAATTGAAGTTTAAGAACCTATTTGCAATTATAGTAAAAGTTAGTGACCTCCAATACAATTAACCCTTATTTAGAAGAGTAATGATATTCATCCTCACTGGGGTTACAAACACAATTTTGGTGGCGTTAATGTGGCATTAAATGATAGGTGAAATTAAATAAGTCATTTAATTTCATATTTCATTTAATTTATCGTTTAGAGTCACATAAACTGTGTTTGTAATTTCACTGGGGATGAATAACATTACTCTATTTAGAATGGGTTGACATGGGAATTAGATCGACGCATTGACACGTGTTAGTTTTGACGGATATGTCAACTAATTCCACTAAGCTCATTGATGAAACCGAAACAAATTGATCTGATTTCTTAAAAAATAAAAGTGGAGTAATTAGCATATAACGTCCCCACATTTTATTGTTATTGTGGAAAACGTCCACACCTTTTATTTTTGGCATTTTAAACTTAATTTCCAACTTTCATTGCGCAAATGTCATTTTTACCTATTTTTTAATTAAAAATGATGAAATGATAAATATACCCTTCTATTTTAAACAAAGCAAAAAGAAAAAGAAAAAACTATTTGTAATCACAATCCCAAGTTTTTTTATTAAAAAAAAGTGCAAATAAGTCACAAATAAATTATTAAAACGATAATTAGTACGTAATATCATTATCTTTTACCGTTATTACGACAAACATCCATATCTTTCATTTTTTTTGGCAATTTCACCCTTAACTACACATTTGATTGTGTAAACCATCATTTTCATCCAATTTTCCAATAAAAAATTGTGAAATAATAAATATACCATACTATTTAAATAAAAAATAAATTTCTAATACTTTAATAATTTATTTGGGACTTACTAGTACTTTCAATTTTTTATTTTTTAAATAAATTTAATTGGGATTTGTTTACAAATTTTTTACTAATTTATTGAGGAATTTTTTACCCTTTTAAAAAAAATTGGGACTATGGTCGGTTGCAATTAATTCTTTAGCTTTTTATTTAAATATGAGGGTATATTTGTCATTTCACAGTTTTCTACTGAGAAATTGGATGAAATGGATATAAATGATAGTTTGAGCAATTAAATATATAATTAAGAGTGAAAATGCTAAAGAAATAAATAAAAGATATGGATTTTTTTATTTTTTTTTGTAATAATAGTGAAAAGTAGGGACATTGTGTATTAATTACCATTTTAATAATTTTTTTTGATTTATTTGCACTTTTTAGAAAAACTTAGGAGATTGATTGCAATTAGTTTTTTGTTTCTTTTTGTTTTATTTAAAAGAGAAGACTGTATTCGTCATTTCATAAATTTTAATTGAAAAAAATATGTGAAAATGACCTTTTGCGCAATGAAATGTAAAAATAAAGATGAAAATGTCAAAAAATGAAATGTATAAATATTTTCCACAATAACAATGAAAGTTGGAGACGTTAAGTGCTAGTTACCCTTAAAAGTATAGTAGTCTAGTTGTATCGATCAAAGTATAGTGACCTACTTGTAAGTAATTTAAGTGTGGGCGTGGGTTGGATCGGGTCGGGTCGGTTTTTGCCCCAACCCAACATTGTCGGTTTGTTCGAAATCCAACCCAACCCATATGAATGTTGAAACCCAACCTAATTATGTGTTCTGGAGAAGAAGATGAAGTCGGGTAGGGTGGAAAATAAAGTTTTAAAGGTTTAAAACCGTGAGCGATACAAAAAAATTTAGGTATAATTTG